GGGGTACTGCGTGTGGAGGTGCTCCACCTGGAGGTTCTTCGGGTGCTTCGTCTCGCCGAGAGCCACTCTCTCCACAGGAGCTGCGCGAGTGGTTTGCCCGGCGCTGGCGTCGTGCTGCTCGTGCTGGAGGTTCTTCAGCTGCTGAGGGTGCTGCGGTCGCGGGTCCCGGAGGTGCTTGTACTGGTAGTACTGGAGCTGCTGGGCATGCGGGTTCGACTGGAGTTGGTGCTGCTGCGGTTGTTGGCGCTGAGACTGCCGCTGGCGGTCCTGCTGGAGGTGCTCCTAGTGCTGCTGGAGGTTCTGGAGCTTCTGGAGGTGCTGCTAAAGCGGGTGCTCCTACTAAGGGTACTGGTGCTATTCCTGCTGCTTCTGGCATCGCCACGCGGCCTCGACCGTACTTCATTCCACTCCTGCAGCAGGTTCTTGGTCTTCCACCTTCTGCTCGTCCTCCTCCTCCCTTAGAGTGTCCGCAGCCTGTCCTGCCACAGTTTCAGCTGCAGCCTACCTCCCCTTTGCCTGCTCCTTCTCCCTACACTGGTCCTACTGGAGGTCTTGCTGAGCGTCGTGAGCCTCCGTCTCGCCCTACGTCGCCTGTCCGTCTTGCTCGTGCTAGTGGTCGTAGTTCGCGTGAGCGTCCTCCTCCTGTCCCTGGTACGCACCGGATGTCTCTGCGTCCGTCCACTGCTCCTCTGCGTACCCCTTTGCCTTCTCCTCCTGAGTCCTCTCTTCCGGCTCTTCCCGACCCGGAGTCGGACTCTCTTCGTGCTGCCAGTCCTACTGTTACGCGTCTCCTTGCTACTGTCGTCACTGACCCTTCTTTCGAGTCCACTGCTGCGTCTGCCCTAGTTGCTGAGCTCGTCGACTTTGCTGCTCGCTGTCGCTTAGACTACGCTGCGAGTCTTGTCGCTGAGTCTGAGTCTGTCTGTCCTCCGTCCGTCGGGGGTGAGTGTGCCCTTGGCACGGACGTCCTTGAGGACAGGCAGGAGGAGTTCCAGTGTCTGGCAGCTCCTTCACCTCATCTCGTGTCCGTACTGGTTACCCCTGAGGGAGACCCGGATGCACTTGACATCCCGACTCGGCACTCTTACGCGGAGGCGATAGAGGGTCGCTACTCCTCTCAGTGGCAGGCAGCTATGGATGCAGAGATGGCTTCCTAGAAGTCCACAGGCACCTACGTTGACACTGTCCCCCCTCCTGGGGCGAGCATCGTCAGTGGCATGTGGATCTTCAGGGTGAAGTGGCCGCCGGGTTCTCCGCCTGTCTTCAAGGCGCGTTACGTGGCTCGTGGCTTCAGTCAGCGGCAGGGAGTTGACTACTTTCAGACCTTCTCCCCCACCCCGAAGATGACCACTCTTCGGGTACTGCTGCACGTTGCTGCTCACCGTGACTACGAGCTACACCCTCTCGACTTAAGCACAGCTTTCTTGCAGGGCAGCCTGCACGAGGAGATCTGGCTGCGTCGCCCACCTGGCTTCACTGGGTCTTTCCCTCTTGGTACCCAGTGGAGTCTCCGGCGTCCAATCTACGGTCTCCGCCAGGCGCCATGTGAGTGGCACGACACACTGAGGACTACGCTTGCGGCTCTTGGGTTTGCTCCTTCTACTGCTGACCCGTCGCTGTTTCTGCGCACCGACACCTCTCTGCCGCTGTTCTACATCCTCGTGTACGTCGACGACTTGGTCTTCGCCACAGCTGACACTGCTGGACTCGCCTACGTGAAGTCCAAGCTGCAGAAGAGACACACGTGCACAGACCTGGGTGAACTGCGCAGCTACCTTGGCTTGCAGATCACCCGGGACAGAGCACGCCGCACCATTACCCTGACTCAGTCACACATGGTGCAGCAGGTCCTTCAGCGCTTCGGCTTCACGTACTCCTCGCCTCAGGCCACTCCTCTGCCTACTCGCCACTCGCTCTCAGCTGTGCCTTCGGATGAGTCCTTAGAGTCGAGTGGCCCGTACTCAGAGCTTGTTGGCTGCCTCATGTACCTGATGACCTGCACACGTCCTGACCTTGCATACCCTCTTAGCATTCTCGCACGCTATGTTGCTCTTGGGAGACACCGACCAGAGCACATGGCTGCAGCGAAAAGGGTGTTGCGCTACTTGTGTAGTACGTCGTGCATGGGGCTAGTGCTTGGAGGGCGGAGTCCAGTGGTCCTTACTGGGCACGCGGACGCTTCTTGGGCTGACGACCAGGCTACGCAGCGGCCGTCACAAGGTTACACCTTCAGCCTTGGTTTCGGCTCTGTTTCGTGGCGGGCTACCCGCTCCTCTTCTGTTCTCGGCTCCAGTTGTGAGGCTGAGATCTACGCCGGGGCTATGGCTGCCCAGGAGTTTCGCTGGCTCACCTACCTGCTGACCGACCTTGGAGAGCCGCCTCGTTCTCCTCCAGTCCTGTACGTAGACAACAAGGCCATGCTGGCCTTGTGTCGAGAGTAGCGACTGGGGCACAGGACAAAGCACATTGCTCTCCGTTACTTTCTTGCTCGTGAGCTACAGCAGCGTGGACAGTTGCGGCTTGCGTACGTGGCCTCTGAGGCCAACACTGCTGATATCTTCACCAAGGCACTTGCGCCTTGTGATCATCAGCGCTTCTGTACTCAGCTTGGTCTTGTGCCTGCCTTGCCTCACTTGCTCACTTCTTGACCTTGCTTGTGTTGTCACATAGATATACTCCTGCTCTTGCTTAATTAGCCTTTTATAAATATAGATATATATATATGTATATGAGCTCCTGCATGTGAACTGGCCTTTTGGCCTTTGAACTTGTGCTCGGAATGTGTGGTGACTTTGTGATCCACCCTGAGCTTTGCTTTGCTTTGCTTGACTGGTCTTGTGACCCCTTGTTCTCCCCCACTTTGCCTATGGGGGTGTGTCAGAACATTATAGCTTATGCTATTGTGTAGGCTATAGTGGGGTATCCCATAGGGGGTACAACACAACTAGGGTTTCATATTTGTACTCGCTTCATTCATAGTTCATTCATTATCGTTCTCATTCTCACAGTTCACTATAGAGCGAGCAGTACAAATAGGCGAGAATGAAGAAAGGTGCACCACCAAACAGAAAGTTATATGACCACAGTATTTTACACTACAGGCTGTTACAAAACAATATATAGAGTTATATATTATTCTGACAGTGACACTTCAGAATCGAAGGGGAGTGTTGGAAACAAGTAATTTAAGCGCTTCTGTTGTGTGTCGAAACACTAAGTCGTAAACAAGGCCAAGCAGAGCGAAGCATCGGCGAGTCAACACTTGGAGGTTGAGAAGAAAAGCAACCGCTGGAGGTTACGCGAAAGTCAAAGGTCAGCGACCTTTGACGTGACAAATACAGCGCGACAGCAAGGACAAGCAACTGACTTGTTACTGAGCAGTTGCCCGAGTCGGCACTGTATCAAACCGCTACAGCAACAGTAAAACAGTTATTAGTTATATCTCTCAGTATTCCTTGTACTCTTATAAAAAACCTTGTATTTCCTTGTTTTAATCAATCTAATTTGCCCTCACATACCAGCGCAAGGTGGTTCAAGGACTTATCGTTAAACGCTTTCGCTATTACATTGTTCCTACCCAGAGTTTAACCCTGCAAAGATCCTAAGGGCTTTTCTTAGCCCAACATACCAACCCTTGACCTTTCAACTCATCGAGGCTTGTAAGGGGTGGAGTGGAGCGGAGACACATGGTTTGCAAGATATCAAGGCAATAGAACAACTAGATAGTTCGCTTGGTACGTGGGCTTATCATCTGAGATCAAGTTTGATATCGTTTATGCTTTGCTACATAAAGTGTACCCCTCGAGTAAAATTACAGCTATTACATCCTGTCCCCACCCCACCCCTACAGTCGTTCGGTCCAGTGGAACACAAGTGCTTTGCGTCATCAAAGCTATCTGCTTGCGTGTCCGCTTACTCAGAATTCGTTCCTCCAAGGTATCAAACTGCACTTTCTTGCTGACGTGTTTTTTGAGCCCAGATGCGCCATGGCTGGGGATTGGAGGTCATGGGGAACGAGACCTGTCCCTCATTTCCCCCCCAGCCTCCCCAGGCTCGGGAAAACTGGTTCCGCACCTGGGCGGCAATCCCGAGGTGCAGACTGTACCCAAGGGATGATTGTCGTACAGTACATTCTGTTACTGTACGGATATCTGTTTTGAGCCTCAGGATTGGCTGTCAGGATGTTCGCCAAGCATCGCTGTGCAAGGCAGAGGGAGACCTGCTCCTCCCTGCTTGCTTTCTCCTAGAAACACACAAATGTCGATGTTGCTGTTGCATCAGTAACATTTGTCCTTGCCAGGCCAGTTGTTTCACTAGCTGTTTTGCTTCTCATAAGTGCCATCATCTGCTGCTGGGCTGGAGGGTAGAAGCAAGTGACCCGTCGTCGTCAGCCTCGCCTGCTGCTCTGCCACTTCATTTGTTTTAGACTTTCGTCAAATTCTCGCAGTTCGCAGCCACCTGCATCGTTTCGGCCCTATCGCAGCTTTATTGCGTCCATCCGTCAGTCGCTTTTCCCTTATCGATCCTCCTCAACCCGCCATTTCGCCGCCGAAATTCATATCCTCACGCAAGAGATCCTGTCAAAATCGTCGAAACGATTGACGCAGCGCCTTTCATCCACCATCGCACCCCGTCATTCCCTTCCTCCTTTTCAGGAACCATTATCGCTCTCAACTCGCCTCCACGACCTCCGTCTTAGACCACTTTGAAGAGCAGTAAGGTTAGACGCGGTCGAAAGCGGTGAACAAAGCGGCTGGGGGTTTCAGCGCAGCAGCAGAGTTACCTTTTGTTCAGCTCATGCCCTAGCGTGTTTGTAGGAGGAAATTAGTATTGACCCGCGTGAAGCGTCTGCGATTCCTGGTTGCCATTCGAGCGTCTCTCATCGTTGCCTGAGAAGGATTTGTTGCGAACGTCAAGCGTCAAGCGTCTGTCATTGTTGGCTGATCCTTCGAACGTCTGATAGCAGACAGCGTTGGTTGCGTCTTCAAGCGTCTCTCATCATGTGGAGATTCTGCCTCTCCCGGCTCCCGCCTGGTACAAGGCGTCTCGCACAATCCGGTCGCTCAACACGTGTCGCCACGTCGTCCCTTTATCACCACGCGTCACGCCACGACGACGCATCCACTGCGTCTTCCACGTCAGCAGCGCATCCTGACGCCTCTTCACATCTGCAAAGTTCACAGCCGCCCTATGCCTCCCTTCAGCAGCTGCCGCTGCAGCCTCGCCAGCCTTATTCTCGTCAGCCGCCTTTTCAGCCACACCAGCGGCGGTGGTTGTCGGACTCGGCTGGTCAACTCGAGATTCCTAAAGAGAAGGTAGGAATAAGTTAGTCTCACATACATCCTGGAGTCTTAGTTGGTCTAGTACAGGGTTGCGCCATCTCCCACTATTTCTGACGACAAGCTCAGTGCCTCCTCCCTCCTCACTGCAGCTCTTCTCCAAGGTGCTGGTGGCGAACAGGGGGGAGATAGCATGCCGAGTGATGAAGACGGCGCGGGCACTGGGCATTCGCAGTGTGGCCATCTATTCTGAGCCGGACGTGGAGAGCCTGCACGTCCGCATGGCGGATGAAGCCGTCTGTGTGGTGAGTGAGTGAGCCCTGCATGCCTGCTGTCTGTGTGGCGAGCCCTGCCTGCCTGCCTGTGTGTTTGAGGTGCCTTGAAAGGCATTCGCAGTGTGGCCATCTACTCCGAGCCGGACGTGGAGAGCCTGCACGTCTGCGTGGTGTATGAGGCGGTTTGTGTGGTGAGCCCTGCTTGCCTGCCTGCCTGCATGCATTCCTGCCTTGAGGCCCCTCAAAAGGTATTCGCAGTGTGGCCATCTATTCTGAGCCGGACGTGGAGAGCCTGCACGTCCGCATGGCGGATGAAGCCGTCTGTGTGGTGAGTGAGTGAGCCCTGCTTGCATGCCTGCCTGCAGCTGCGTTTGACTCGTTTTTTTTTTTTTTGATAAGGGGGGGAGGGGGGGGGGGGTCTTTTTTGTTTCTGCTTTCGCTGAAGAATCAGGTCAGCTGCGTATGGCCTTTTTTCCAGTGCTGCTGCCCCACTTGCTGTCGTTGCTTCCGTTGCGGCTTCTTCGCCTACTCAATTTCATCCGCTGTGGTTCCTTTTCGCTGTGATTCTTTGTGCTTCTGTCATGCTCTCATGTCTCCCCCGCCTCCCTCACCACCCCCCCCCTCCCTCCCCTTCCCCCCCCCCCCCCCTCTCTCCCCCACCCACTCCCCTCTCTCCATGCCAGGGCCCAGCACCAACAGCGCAGAGCTATCTGAACATGGATGCTGTGCTGGACGCGATTAGAAGCACAGGGGCTGACGCGGTGAGTGTCCCAAGCATGTATGTGTACCCGTTCTGAACTGACTGCACGTAGGACAGACTGACATGATAGTGCAGAGCTATCTGAACACGGATGCTGTACGGGACGCGATTAGGAGCACAGGGGCTGAAACGAGGGGTCAGAGGAGGAGAAGCTGATATGCACATGGATGCTGTCCTGGATGCCGTTCATAACAAGAGCTCGATGTGGTGAGTGCTGCATGCATGCATGTAGTCCTTTTTGAGAATTCTAAAAAAAAAAAATATTTGAGAATTCTTTTTTTTGTCTTTTTTTTGAGAATTCTCAAAAAGCATACGTGGTGAGTGCTGCATGCATGCATGTAATCCTTCTAATCTGATTGAGCATCTTCGTGGAGCATTTGGGAGGAGGAGGAGGTATCTCTGCCCATCCCTCTCACTAGCTCCATTGCTCGTCCTGCACATCCTTGCTTCCGGTCTTTTTATTCCCTTTCACCCTCCCCAGGTGCACCGTGCGCCCCAGTAAGCCGTTCCTGCCAGAGAACGGCATGTTTGTGGAGCTGTAGGAGGATGAACCCTTGCATGTCATGTGCTGTTGCATAACGCAATGGTCTTTCTCTCCTCTTCCACCCTCCCCAGGTGCACCCCGGATACGGGTTCCTGTCAGAGAATGCCCTGTTTGTGGAGCGGCTGGATGAGGAGGGCGTGACGTTCGTGGGGCCCAACTTGAACGCCATTGACGCCATGGGGGACAAGGTGGGTGTGGGTGAGGGCACGGGGGATAAGGTGAGTGGGATGGCTGACTGCTTTTGAGGCATCTCAAGAACGCTAGATGAGGAGGGCGTGACGTTCGTGGGGCCCAACCCGAACGCCATTGACGCCATGGGGGATAAGGTGGGGTGCCTCTGACAGTGCTAGACTTGGTGGAAAGGTATTGACATGCCCGCAATGACACCTTATCGTTCCGGCAGAAATATTGAAACCCAGTTTTGAGAATCATCTAGAATGGTCCGAGTGAGGAGCATCTGCTTTTAGCAGCTTGCTTGATTGCTGTCGGAGCCGTGGAGGGCGGGCTGCCAATTGATCTTCGCGGGCAGGGGGGACTGCAATCTCCTGAAGCAGTCATGGTCGATTTGAGAAACAATGAACGTGTGACTGGTTCTACTGGAAGGGCTTCCAGAAAGTATAACATATGATCCCCCCTCCTGCCCAGCCTTCCACCCGACTTTCTGTACGCCCTCATCCAGTCAATTCCCCTCATCTGGGTCTTCCGCCTCTCTCTGGTCCTCCTCCCCCGGCTGCTGTCCCGTCCAGATTCACAGCAAGCGGTTGGCGAAAGAGGCCAAGGTGAACACCATTCCAGGGAAGGAGGACGTTATCAGGGACGAGGACCATGCGGTTGAGATCGGTAAGAACTTCAATAATTATTACCCAATGGAGGAGGACCACGCTGGTGCCATGTTTCATTTGTAAGAACCATGTTTCATCTTTCTCTGTATCAACCAAGGCACCATTGTGAAGTTTATCCAAGGAAATTGCTTGGGCTATATACTGTTCTACAACTGTACATTCGTGCTCAATGTTTTAGCTCCTCAAAGCGCCAATTCTTCCATGCTGCCATCCCCCTGCCCTGCCGTATCCCTCTCACCCTGTCCCCCGTCCCCCCCCCACCCCTGCTGCCTGCCACCACCCGTTCCCCAAATCCTCTTTTCGTCTCTCTCTCCCTCAGCGCAAGAGGTGGGCTTCCCAGTCATGCTCAAGGCGTCTGGCGGTGGAGGAGGCAAGGGCATGCGGGTGGCATGGTGAGGAGTGTGAGGGGTGTACCGTGTAGGTGCCATGATGACGGGTGCGGTGACGGGACCCCACGTAATCGTACGTTATGCGTCAACGTAAACGTACGTACACATACGCGTAAAAGCGCGTAACATCTTGCCGGGCAGGAAGGAAAAGAAAAGTCAAGCAAAAAAGGTCTGTCCACGCGTTTTGTTGCCCACGGACTGGTTTGTTATGCTAAGGCTCTTTAGAACCTACATGATTGGGCGTGATTCGAACACGTTTTGTTGGAAATTCAGACTGACAAGGTGAGAGGAAAGAATGAGCTGGTTCTTAAAATCATATCCTGTGAAACCTTGAGAGTTTTTGTTAATTTCATTGTCACACCACGGAGAAAACTTGTAATCAAGTGAAGAACCATGTAAACTGGGTATTGGTTTGGACAGCAATGGGCATAGTAAGGGATGCGGGTGAGTTTATCAGGCGAATTACACAATTCTTGACTTAAGGTTTTCCCTCTGTCCCCATCCCCTCGCTTGCTCTGAGTGCAGGAATGAGAAGGAGGTGCGGGAGCAGTTCAGCGTGTGCAAGGCAGAGGTGGCTTCCAGCTTTGCTGATGACCGCATCTTCGTGGAAAGGTCTGTCCGCATTTCGGTAGCTTCTGAGTTGACTCAAAAGCCACCTCTCAGTGGAGAGGTCTGTGTGCAAGGCAGAGGTGGCTTCCAGCTTTGCTGACGACCGCATCTTTGTCAAAAGGTCTGCCTGTCCGCATCTTAGGCGTGGACGGTTTTGAGATTCTCAAAACCGTCCGCATCTTAGGCGTGAACTGTTTTAGTGCCCTGAACGATACTCTTGTGCTGAATAGTTCTTGTCAGTATGCATGCAGGTGTCTGTGGAACAAGATATCGTGAGGATTTTGTCATTAATGAAGTACAATAATTCTCATCGTTGTGAATATCAAGTCAGTTGAACCTCACATCCGGTTAAACCACTAAGTGCCTCTCTTGCTCTGTTCCTTTCCTGCTGCTGCAACTGGCTTGAGCAGGTTCATAGACAAGCCAAGGCACATCGAAGTGCAGGTCATGGGGGATAAGCATGGCAATGTGGTGCGTACCAATCCTGACTCCCCTCCTCCTCCTGCCCCACCCGTTCACTGGCATGCTAGATTAAGCATAGCAGATTGTCGCTACTCCTCCCACGCTGCTCCACTCACTATGACTGGTCCTTGCGTTCGCATGTGAAGTGGCAGGGCTCCAACGTGTTTGGGCTTTGATTCTAACCTGGATGCTGTCTCTATGAGCAATACACTCCACGCCCCTGTGCTTGTGTTGTCTTGTGTTGTGGTGGGGTGGGGTATGGTGTGTGTGGTATGGTGTGGTGTGGTATGGTGTGGTGTGGTGTGGTGTGGTGTGGTGTTGTGTGGTGTGGTGTGGTGTGGTGTGGTGTGGTGGTGTACCTTGTTGATTGTCCAGGTGTGGCTACCAGAGAGAGAATGCTCCATCCAGAGGCGAAACCAAAAGGTGACACACAACCAAACTTCAAACCAAGCGCTTAGCACAGCACGTTCTTCATCATACCCCTCCGCCGCTTCCCCCCAACTCCATCCCTCACATACATTGTCACCTCTCACAGCGTCCAACCTGCATATGCTAGACAGCTCGCGCTTTCTCTTCTAGCGCAACCCCTCCGTCCATTCCTCCCACCTCTCAATCGCCAGGTGATAGAGGAGTCGCCCAGCACGTTTCTGGACGAGGCAACGAGGGAGGCCATGGGCGAGCAGGCTGTGTCGCTGGCCAAGGCTGTCAACTACGACTCCGCTGGTATGTGCGTCGTTGGGGGGAAGGGAGGGAGAGGGGGGGGGGGAGGAGGGGGAGAGGGGGAGAGGACAAGGAGGGGAAGGGGAAGTCGCTGAGTTGATTAGGTTACAGGCTGTGTCGCTGGCCAAGGCAGTGAACTACGACTCTGCTGGTATGTGTGGAAATGGAAAGGGGGGGTGGGGGGGGAAAAGACGGGCAAGGGGAGAGGCGTTAAACTTGGTGTTGCATGCGGTGTCTCTGGCCAAAGCAGTCAGCTACGACTGTGCTGCTGGTATGTGTAGAACTTCTTTCTCGAGATGAAAACCACCCCACACCACACACACCGTGCCCACGTACCCTCCCTCTGCTCCCCTCTCTTGTTTTGAGGCGCCTCAAAGCTACACGTGCCCTTACCCTCCCTCTGCTCCCCTCTCTTGTTTTGAGGCGCCTCAAAACTACATGTGCCCTTACCCTCCTTCTGCTCCCCTCTCTTGCCGCCCCTCTCCCCGCCTCCCTCCAGGCACGGTAGAATTCCTAGTAGACGCCCAGCGCAACTTCTTCTTTCTGGAGATGAACTCGCGCCTGCAGGTGGAGCATCCTAACCGTTCCTCCTCTCCCCTCTGCTCCCCTTCCTCTACCGCCCTCCCTCCAGGCACTGTTGAGTTCCTAGTGGACGCCCAGAGGAATTTCTTCTTTCTGGAGATGAACACGCGCCTGCAGGTGGAGCATCCGGTCACAGAGTGCGTCACGGGTCTCGACCTCGTGCACCTCATGTTCCACTCCGCTGCCGGCCATACGCTGCCCATAGACCAGAAGAGGGCAAGGAAGATCCACGGGTGGGCGTTGGAGTCTCGGGTTTACTGCGAGCATCCCTTCATGAACTTCCTCCCGTGAGTCACCTGTCACAACAAGGCTAATTGTCCTCTTAACACCAACCCTAAGCCTCCACGATGGTAGTCTGGACGCCCAGTGGAGTGCTTCTCACAACACTGCATCACTTTCGCTCCTTCCTCCCTTCCCCCTTGACTTTCTTTTCTCTCATCCTCTCCTCTCCTCCCTCTCCTACCAACCATCTCGACAGGCAAGCTCCTCACATACCGCGAGCCCAAGGAGGTGCGCAACTTTCCTCTTCGCCTCTCCGCACCTCACCTCTCCTCCCCTCCCCTATCCTCCCCTCCCCTCTCCTCCCCTCCCCTCGCCTCTCCTCTCCTCTCTTCGCCTCTCCTCTCCTCTCCTCTCTCTCCTCTCATCTCCTCTCCTCGCCTCTCCTCTCCTCTCCTCTCCTCTCCTCTCCTCGCCTCTCCTCTCCTTTCCTCTCCTCTCCTCTCCTCTCCTCTCCTTTCCTCTCCTCTCCACACACCCCCCACCAGCTCCACAGGCAAGCTGCGCAGGTATCGCGAGCCCAAGGAGGTGCGGACGCCGACTGAAGTCGTGCGGCTGGACACAGGGGCGGTGGAGGGGCAGTACATCTCCATGTACTATGACCCACTGCTCTCTAAGGTGTGTGCAGTACGGCTCACTCACTGTGGCGATAGGGTATTTGATTTGACTTGTCAGTCGACATGACACAGTCTGTGTGCGGCTGGACACAGGCGCAGTGGAGGGGCAGTACATCTCCATGTACTATGACCCCCTGTTGTCTAAGGTATGTGAGCTGTCAGTCGACTGAAATGGTGTGCGGCTGGACACAGGGGCGGTGGAGGGGCAGTACATCTCCATGTACTATGACCCCCTGTTGTCTAAGGTATGTGACCTGTCAGTCGACTGAAATGGTGTGCGGCTGGACACAGGGGCGGTGGAGGGGCAGTACATCTCCATGTACTATGACCCACTGCTCTCTGAGGTGTGTCGCCACGTGCCATGCTCGCGGTATCCACAACCACGAGTTGCACGTAGCGACACACTTTGGAGAGAAGGGGGTCATAGTAGATGAAGGAATCTGCCATGTGTTCACATCTCATCAGTCACATTCACACTTCCTTTTCCTTCCCTTGCTGTCAACATGCTTTCTCTTTCCCACTTTCAATGTGGTTCGCGTTTTTTCCTTTTTTTTTTACAATCCCTGCTGTCAAACCTCTGTCCCACTTGTGAGTAACTTAGTTCTTCCTCACACTTGTGAGTAACTTAGTTCTTCCTCACACTTGTGAGTAACTTAGTTCTTCCTCACACTTGTGAGTAACTTAGTTCTTCCTCACACTTGTGAGTAACTTAGTTCTTCCTCACACTTGTGAGTAACTTAGTTCTTCCTCACACTTGTGAGTAACTTAGTTCTTCCTCACACTTGTGAGTAACTTAGTTCTTCCTCACACTTGTGAGTAACTTAGTTCTTCCTCACACTTGTGAGTAACTTAGTTCTTCCTCACACTTGTGAGTAACTTAGTTCTTCCTCACACTTGTGAGTAACTTAGTTCTTCCTCACACTTGTGAGTAACTTAGTTCTTCCTCACACTTGTGAGTAACTTAGTTCTTCCTCACACTTGTGAGTAACTTAGTTCTTCCTCACACTTGTGAGTAACTTAGTTCTTCCTCACACTTGTGAGTAACTTAGTTCTTCCTCACACTTGTGAGTAACTTAGTTCTTCCTCACACTTGTGAGAATATGCCCATCCACCACTTCCCCTGCCCCCCCCCATCTCTCCCTACCAGCTAATCACGTGGGGACCAACGAGAAAGGATGCCCTGGAGTCCATGAAGGTACAGTTCCGAAATTGTAACCATCTTCCGAGTTGTCTCAGAAATATGCCTAGAATGAACTCGCTTACGTTCGAAATATTTGTTTTTGAGAGTACTTACAGCAACATGTTTGCCAAAAGCTGCTAACAAACAGGCCTAGAATGATATAATACTAGACACACATCTCATTCCTCTTCATGCCTCGTCTCCCTCCTCCCTCCCTTTGTCTCCCTCCTCCCTCCCTTTGTCTCCCTCCCTCCCTTTATCTCCCTCCTCCCTCCCTTTGTCTCCCTCCTCCCTCCTTTTGTCTCCCTCCTCCCTCCCTTTGTCTCCCAGCACGCCTTGGATCGTTATTATGTGTGTGGGCCGTTCAACAACATCTCCTTCCTCCGCTGCATCTTCTCACAGCCGGTAATCAGCTCGCACTTTGCCACTCTGCTCGCTTGTTAGAGGGTGTGTGCGTGTTTGGGTTTTCCCACGCTTAGATTGTCAGGCAAATCTCTCTGACAGAGCTGCCATGCAAAGCTTGAGGAGTTTCCATTTAAGCTTTTCTGCTCATGCACGTCTCTGTGTTGAGGTGCCTCGTGCCTCGAAAATGAAATCTGCTCTGCCCTCTTTGCGTTGCCCCTCCATGCTCTCTCCTGCTGCCCCAGGCGTTTGAGTCTGGCGATATCAGCACCAAGTTCCTGGACATCCACTATCCGAATGGTTTCACGGATGACCGACTGACGCCCAGAGAGGAGGTGAGGGTGGGAGGAGACTATAGGCTGAGGACGAGCAAGGTGTTTAATAGGTACTCGATAGAGGTCCGCACCAAGTTCCTGGACATTCACTTCCTGAATGCAATGACAGGCTGACGCCTAGAGAGGAGGTGAGAAAGGGTGGAAGAGGCCACAGATCATTTTCTCTTTCTTCCCAGAGAGAAGGTGAGAATGGGAAGAGGAAATCAGATTCGGTGAGTGGGAAGAGTTGAGAGCCATACACGGAAAGAAGTGACGGCCATAGCAGCCTTTCGTGACAAATTATATTCCGGAGGTCTCTGTAAGCTGTCAACCATCCTCAGCCTCCTTTCTCCTTCTCATCATCGCCATCCTCCACTCATCTCCACTCCTCAACCACTACACACGGAAAAGAAGTGGCAGCCATTTCAGCCTTCCTCGAGATTGTCAAGGTCGCTGCTAGCTAGTAACCAACCTCAGTCTCCCTTCTCCTTCTCATCATCGCCATCCTCCACTCATCTCCACTCCTCAACCACCACACACGGAAAAGAAGTGGCAGCCATTTCAGCCTTCCTCGAGATTGTCAAGGTCGCTGCTAGCTATTAACCAACCTCAGTCTCCCTTCTCCTTCTCATCATCGCCATCCTCCACTCATCTCCACTCCTCACCCACCACACACAGAAAGAAGTGGCAGCCATTTCATCCTTCCTCGAGATTGTCAAGGTCGCTGCTAGCTAGTAACCAACCTCAGTCTCCCTTCTCCTTCTCATCATCGCCATCCTCCACTCATCTCCACTCCTCACCCACCACACACAGAAAGAAGTGGCAGCCATTTCAGCCTTCCTCGAGATTGTCAAGGTCACTGCTAGCTATTAACCAACCTCAGTCTCCCTTCTCCTTCTCATCATCGCCATCCTCCACTCATCTCCACTCCTCACCCACCACACACAGAAAGAAGTGGCAGCGATTTCAGCCTTCCTCGAGATTGTCAAGGTCGCTGCTAGCCAGTAACCAACCTCAGTCTCCCTTCTCCTTCTCATCATCGCCATCCTCCACTCATCTCCACTCCTCACCCACCACACACAGAAAGAAGTGGCAGCCATTTCAGCCTTCCTCGAGATTGTCAAGGTCACTGCTAGCTATCAACCAACCTCGGTCTCCCTTCTCCTTCTCATCCTCCCCGTCCTGCAGTCATCTCTCCTCATCCCCCGTTCCTCACAGAAAGAGGTTGCAGCCATTGCTGCCTTTCTTGAAATAGTCAAGTCCCGGAGGCCGCTGCTAGCTGTCAACCATCTTCGCTCCTTCCCATTCTCCCGTCCTGACCCCCTCACCCACCACACACAGAAAGAAGTGGCAGCCATTGCAGCCTTCCTCGAAATTGTCAAATCCCGGAGGTCGCTGCTAGCTGTCAACCATCCTCAGTCTCCCTTCTCCTTTTCATCTCACCCGCCACACACAGAAAGAGGTTGCAGCCATTGCTGCCTTTCTTGAAATAGTCAAGTCCCGGAGATCTCTGCTAGCTGTCAACGCTGCCGCCCCCGGCACGCCCGGCGCAATAGGAAACGGACACCTGGCGCATGCCGGTTGGGTGGAGGAGGAGGGAGAGGGGGGAGGCGAGGAGGGGGAGGAGGATGGGGGGGAGGGGCTGAGGGGGAAGGCGGAGCTGGTGGTGAGTTCGGATGGGGTGGAGCATGCTGTGGTGGTGCGGCACTGGAGCAATGAGAAGAAGCCACACCTCTGTGTTGCGGTGAGTGGCTGTCATGTATTTCCCACTGAATGTTCTGATACTTGGGGTTGGGGGGGGGTTTGAGGGGGAAGGCGGAGCTGGTGGTGAGTTCAGATGGGGAGGAGCATGATGTGGTGGTGCGGCATTGGAGCAATGAGAAGAAGCCGCACCTCTGTGTTGCGGTGAGTGTTCATAAAGTGCTGTGGTTTCTCAACCGCCCCATGTTGCATGTTCATAAAGTGCGATGAGTCCCCTTATCCCCACCTCCCTATATCCTTTGTCTGCTCCCCGTATCCCCACGCCCTATGTGATGAGACGTTTTTTTTGTCGACTAAAACATTTCCTCGCGTGTCCTTACCTCCATGTTGCTGTATTCTCTGTCGGCTCCCCGCATCCTTTTCCCCTCCCTGCACCCCCCGTATCCCTCGCTTTCCGGCAGGATGTTTTTGAGAATTCTGAAAATTTCCCCGCATCCCTTTTCCCCTCCCTGCGCCCCCTGTATCCCTTGCTTCTCGGCAGGATATCGAGGTGGGGGGGGAGGTGATCCGGGTGGAGGAGGTGGTGCCAGCAGGGTTGGGGCGGGGGGTGGTGGATATCCGAGTGGATGGGGAGGACACCGTGTGCATGGTCATGGAGAAACACGCAAGAGGGTTCAAGCTTGTGTATGACGGCTGCACCAAGGTATGCTCTCTTCTGAGGCACCTCGCAAGCAGTGCGGCTGGGGCTGGGGGGCTGGGGGGCTGGGGCTGGGGCTGGGGCTGGGGCTGGGGCGGGGGGTGGTGGATATCGGAGTGGATGCGGAGGACACCGTGTGCATGGTACAATGCGAGAGGGTTCAAGCTCGTGTATGACGGCTGCACCAAGGTACAATGTTCCTCTGGGTAAGAATGGCTGTCTCCAGGCAATTTGCTTTTTGAATGGTCCAACACACCGTGTGTATGGTCGTGGAGAAGCACGCCAGATGATTCAAGCTGGTATACGATGGCCGCACCAGGTATGCTGATTTGGGTAACACTTTCCATGTTTGGCGTGGTTTGATTGAGATTTCCAACCTTGAGTCTGGCTGAACGTGTGCCGGATTTACAGCCAGATGTTCATTCTGGAACAGAAAGAGGTGCTGGTGCATCAGATGAAGGTTGCCCCTTCTTGCGTCTCTTTCTGAAGTGGCGAAAAGATAAAATCCTCTCTCATTCTCGGCGATTGATCTCTTTCCCCTCTCTCCACACGCGGCGCCCACTACAGGACGAAGTGCTGGTGCATCAAAAGAAGGTGGCTCCTCTACAGAAGTACATGCCACCCAAGAAGGTTCAAGATGTCTCCAAGGTGCGATGTCCAATCTTGCATCTTTTCTAGGTGTTATATTTACATCCTTCTCCATATCCTTGCTGGCATATCTGATACACATATCCCTCGAGTCCGACACATTTTCCTCGAGTCCGTCTGTATACATTTCTCTCCTGTTTGTGCAGATGGTCAAGGCTCCTATGCCTGGTGCAGTGGTCGCAATCGGTGTCAAGCCAAACAAGAAGGTGAGGGAAACTGTTCTGTCATCAAGACATTGGACGTGCAAGCTATGCAGCTGGGAATCACCTGCATGCTCTAGTAGTCTCTAAACATCACTCAGCGACCATTTTCGCTCAACTTTGTCTTTAACTCGTATGTTTCCTCGTCCAACAGGTGCTTCCTGGTGATGAGCTGATAACGATCGAAGCCATGAAGATGCGCAACGTGCTGCGTGCTGAGGAGGCAGCCACTGTAAAGGCTGTATATGTGAAGGTCGGGGCCTCTGTGTCGCTGGGCGAGACCATGATCGAGTTTGAGTAAATTCTGCTCCCTTGGGAACAGGTGGTGGTGATACATTATCAATCCGCCAATATATAAAGTAAAACAATCCCAAGAATGAGCCACTTCCAGGAGAAGATGAGGCATTTGTTGCAAAATTACCATGATTCAATCAATTTTGACGAAGTGAACAATCGACTGGGCAGTCATTGCAATTACAATACATTTACATATATATATGGATTGGGCTGTCTATCATTGGAATGTAAATTTCACTTTATTAATATAGTTCTTTTGATCTGTAGATTGTTATCTGAGTTGATTGCATGCGGTGGCATACCAACGCTCACGAGAAGATCGAGGTTCTCAATTCCAGCTTCATTCTCCCACCACTACTCTAGTTCCTCTTAGCTAAAAGCGTTGTTTTATCAGTCAACCAGGTACCCGATCGCACATTTCCCCCCCGTACATCCAGTTTCCCCCGCTCAACATGAATCACCCCGCCGCAAGCCTTCCTCGACTCCCCCCCTTCCGAACCATCTTCCCCCATCTGTCCGCTTTCACGTCTCCGCGTTACCTCCCTAAGTTCAGCACTTGCTGATTCTATTGCTCTCTTGCCAGGGAGCAGATCAGGTACCCTAGGAGCTTATCAGTCCTCAGGCCCCCTGCAGCACCCGATTCGCCATTCAGAACCTCGGTCTTCGCGACTCGAGCCTCTGACATCCGCAGCCATGGCGTCCCGTTTCTGGATGCAGGTGCGATTTTAGGTGGATAGTAGATGCGCGCGTACTGGCTGTGGATGAAATTTCCTGGTTGCTCACAGTTTTAGGCACGCTGATCGGTAGATGGTGGATGCATGGCTGATCAAATTCTTTTGACTTATCAGTGAGACTAAGACTGGCCAAGTTCGGGAGAATGAGGTTGTTACAGACGATTAGTTGCGCATCGTCCGATCAACCACGACATACGTCTAAACCGTCCGATAAACTCGGTAGTTCCACGTGTAGATCGATCGCGTGGTGGTATGCCGTTTGAGCCTGAAAACTACATGGAGATTGACGGAGGATTTTGCGTAGTCGTCTAGACCTGAAAATAAATGGACCGAAATTCGATATTATACCTAATCATCCAGAAGCGGATGTGTTGGTCCGTCTAGAATCAATCGGCTTGACAGCGAGTCGGATGAACTTTACACGTTTAGCGTAACGTGAACCCTAATTTTCCATTTCATGTTTCGCAATTTTCTACTGACCTTCCCCGCACGCGTTCGATCAATCAATCGGAGGAGGAGGATGAGACTGTTAAGTTTAGTAGTGAGACGTTTGGTGGAGGGGGGCGTCGTACACGAGTAGTCATTGGATAGGAGAAGAAGTCATAGGAGGGTCGAGGATGAGCGGAGGATGTGTCGGGGGAGTAGGGGAAGGAGGAGAAAGAATAGGATAAGTTAGTCATTGACATGTTGAGTCATTTTCCCACCACATCCCCTTGCAGTCTGACAGCGAGTCCGAGGAAGAGGAGGATGAAGTTGAAGAGGAGCAGTCGGAGGGAACGGGAGGAGAATCCTGTTTCTGAAACCCTAACTTTTCATGTTTTCATTCCCACCAACTCTCTCTGCAGTCTGACAGCGAGTCCGAGGAGGAGGAGGAAGAAGTCGAAGAGGAAGAGTCGGAGGAGGAAGAAGACGAGGCCCCCAAGGCCGCCGGCGATGCCGGGCGAGCGTCGATCTACCTGCGACAGGGCGACAGCGACAGCGAGGACAGCGACGACGGTCGCGCGCGCGTCGTTCGGCCGGCCCGCGAGAAGCGGTACGACGAGATGGTGTCGACGGTGGAGCAGATTAAGAACCAGATGAAGATTAACGACTGGGTCGCTCTGCAGGTACGGATTTTTCAACATATAGAACGGATTTTCCGTGCCCGATGTTGCTGGAATACCAAAGTGGCGTGCAGCTGTAAATCTCTGGCACAGCTCTGGGATCTAGGGTTTCACCAACTGTTCCAGGGCGCTGTGCTTCGGAAGACAGCTACTCAACCTTCCTCTGGTCCTTGTTGTTCCTCGCCTATTCCTCTTCCACTCTACTTTATTGCACTGTTTGCAGGAGAGCTTTGAGAAGCTGAACAAGCAGCTTGAGAAAGTGCTGCGCCTGATCGAATCCTCCGTGCCCCCGCGGCCGTACATTAAGGGTGTCGTGCTGCTGGAAGACCACCTGAACGCCGCTTTAACGAACAAAGAGGCGAAGAAAAAGATGAGCAGCAGCAACGCCAAGGCTCTGAATTACATGAAGCAGAAGCTGAAGAAGAATAATAAGCTGTACGAGGCCGTTATTGAGAAGTTCCGGGCGAGTCCTGAGTCGGAAGAGGAGGAGGAGGACGACGACGAGGAGGAAGAGGAGGATGAGGACGAGGAGGAGGATGAGGAGGGGGTGGAAGATCCATTGGATAGAAAGGGAGGGGATGAGGAGGAGGAGGGAGGGGAAGGGTGGGAGACGCAGAAGAGCAAGAAGGACCGGGCGATGGAGAAGCAGTTTCAGAGGGATCATAGCGAGATTAAGTGGGAGGAGGTGAATCAGAAGCTTAAGGAGATTATTGCGGCTAGGGGTCGCAAGGGGACGGATAGGGTGGAGCAGGTGGAGCAGCTGACTTACCTGGCTAAAGTCGCAAAAACCCCGGCGCAGAAACTGGAGGTCATGATGCAGGTGGTGTCCGCGCAGTTCGACGTTTCGCAGAATCTTCACCTGCATCTGCCCGTCCCCGTTTGGAGGAAATGCGCGGAGAATATAATGACGATTCTCGACATTCTCGAGGGAAACCACAACATTGTCCTGGACGAGAATTACGAGGTGGTGGAGGACGATAACGAGACGCAGAAAGGCGCGGATTTCGAGGGGAAGATCCGGGTGTGGGGATCGGTGGTGTCGTTTGTAGAGCGTATGGATGATGAGCTGTTTAAGAGCCTGCAATGCACGGATCCGTACACTAAGACGTACTTAGAGCGGCTTAAGGACGAGCCGACGCTGCTCGCGCTGGCTCAGAACGCGCAAGCGTACGCGCTGCGCGTGGGCGACACCAAGGGCGCGTCGCGTGCGGCTCGTCGCCTGTGCGAGCACATCTACTACAAGCCTCAGGTTAGTCTTCTAACGGTAGCTTTCTAACGGGTTAACCTTCTCTTGGAGTAGCTTTCTGTCCGCTTTTGTGGCGTCACAAAGCGAGTCCCTGGTCGGTTATGTTCTCCACATGTCTCCGGTAACCCATGCCCTCTCATCTCTCCCTTCCTCTCTCCCTCGTTCTTCTTACTCGCCCACCAACCCCGCTGTCTGCGCCCTCCCCCCCTCCCCAACTTCGTGCTTTATGTTTTTGCATCTGAATTGTTCTCTTGATTTACGGTTTCGTTGTCCTTTTTGGTTGCATAGTTCTTCCTTCTGTTTTTGTTTTCGCGCCACTCCCCTCCCGGCCCCCCCTTTCCCCTCCCTCATCCCCTCATCCCTGCACTGTCTCGCGCTTTTTTCGAGCTCTCGTTTTGCCCCTCCTTCCCTCGTTCTTCCTCTCCCTCCGCTTTCATCATTCCCCCTCTTTCCCCTCTTCGTATCCATATCTGCATGCCATCGCTCCCCATCGCTCCCCGTGCACCCCCCTCGCTCCCCCTCGCTCGCGTTGCACCCAATCGCGTCCCCACAGAACGTGTACGCAGCTCTGCGCCTGATGTCGGAGCAGCAGCAGCAGGCAGCGGCGGCCGCCGCCGCCGCCGCCGAAACCCCCGCGGACGCCGCCGCCGCCGGCGACGAGGACGCGTCGCCAGACGACGAGCCCGAGTCCGCCGCCGCGAAAGACGCCAAGCGCCGCGCCGCGATCGCGGTGAACTCGTACGGGCCGCCCGCGTTTATCCCGACGCCAGAAGCGGTTCCGCGGTGGCCGGTTTTCCCGGAGAGCGGGCGCGCGATGATGAAGGCGCTGCTGGCGGTGGTGTACGCGCACGGGGAGGAGCGCAGCAAGGCGCGCGCGATGCTGTGCGACATCTACCACCACGCGATCAACGACGAGTACCACACGGCGCGCGACCTCATGCTCATCTCCCACCTCCAGGTAGGGGTTTAGGCGGGCGTCTGAGTGTTGTTGCAAGAGGAGGTTGAGGGTTTAGAGGGGCGTTCTACATTTGCGCTCAAGCTTTCGAATCCTGGAAACAAATGAAGGGAAATAAGTATTTGAGGGCGTTTTTAGGGTTGCGGTTGAGAAATCTCAAAACCACGCAATGCAAGATGACTGCCATATGGGGTTGTCTCGAGTATATATCTCACCTCCAGACAGGGTTTAAGAGGGGGTTGGATAGGGGAAGCGGATTTGAGGACATCAGCACGCAGATCCTCTTCAACCGTGCCATGGCACCTTCTGAGAGGCCTCATATCGTGCACTACCCCATACCTTCCCCCTTCAACCTGCCCCGTCCTCCCCCCTTCCCTTCAACAGGACGCGGTGCAGCAGATGGACATCAGGACGCAGATCCTCTTCAACCGCGCCATGGCCCCTTGTGAGGCGGTTCAATACTTCCCCTCGCCCTTCCCCTCCCTACCCACACGCCTTCCCCCACCCCACCCGCCCCTATTCCCCCTTCCCGCTCCCTCCAACAGGACGCGGTGCAGCAGATGGACATCAGCACGCAGATCCTCTTCAACCGCGCCATGGCGCAGCTCGGTCTTGCCGCCTTCCGCAGGGGGCTCATCCCGGACGCCCACAGCTGCCTCGCCGACCTCTTCGCTGGCGGCCGCGTGAAGGAGCTGCTCGCACAGGGCGTCTCCCAGTCTCGGTTCCACGAGAAGACCCCCGAGCAGGAGCGCGTGGAGCGGCGCCGGCAGATGCCGTACCACATGCACGTGAATCTGGAGCTGCTGGAGGCCGTGCATCTGCTGTGCGCCATGCTGCTCGAGGTGCCTTCGCTGGCCGCGCACTCCACGGATGGGCGCAGGAGGGTGATTTCGAAGAATTTCCGCCGGCTGCTCGATATGTACGAGCGCCAGACGTTCACCGGCCCCCCTGGTGAGTGCTTGTCCCCCTCCCCCTCCTCCCCCCCTGCTCCCCACGGTATCTTCTGTCCCGACGTTTGTTTAGAGTGAGTTTCCGATGGGAAGTGCTGAGGGAATGCCTGAGTGAGTGGAGTGGGGGAGTGTGAGGGAGAGTACGGGGTTGAGTGGGGGGGTGCAGATGCCGTACCACATGCATGTGAATCTGGAGCTGCTGGAGGCGGTGCATCTGCTGTGCGCCATGCCATGCTGCTTTGCTGTGCGGCGACTGGCAGCGCGCCGTGCAGCTGGCAGAGGCAGCTGCTGGACGTGTGGAAGCTGCTTCCGCTCCAACCCTCCCCTTCTTTCCTTCCCCCCTCCTCGTCCCCCCCCAACGTTGTCGTTGCCTTGTCCAGAGAACGTGAGGGATCATGTCATGGCAGCGTCACGTGCGCTCATGTGCGGCGATTGGCAGCGAGCCGTGAGGCGCTGGACGTGTGGAAGCTGCTGCCTCCTTACCGCAACCCTTTGTCTTCCCCCCGTTTCCATCCCTCCGTACAGAGAACGTGAGGGACCACGTGATGGCAGCATCCCGCGCTCTCATGTGCGGCGGCTGGCAGTGGGCCGTGCAGCTGGCAGAGGCGCTGGACGTGTGGAAGCTGCTGCCTCAACCCCCCTCTTTCCTCTCTTTGCCCGTCCTCCCCCTCTTCTCTCTCTTTGCAGAGAACGTGAGGGATCACGTCATGGCAGCATCACGCGCACTCATGTGTGGCGACTGGCAGCGGGCCGTGCAGCTGTCAGAGGCGCTGGACGTGTGGAAGCTGCTGCCGGTGGCGCAGAGGGAATCCGTGCTGGGGATGCTGCGGGGCAAGATCCAGCAGGAGGCCTTGCGGACGTTCCTCTTCAATGCGTCTTCTACTTATGCCTCAATCAGTCTCGACCAGCTCACACAGGTGGGTGTTTGGTAGGGTTGAGTGTGGTTGGGTGGGGTTGTGAGGGAGTTGGTGGGGTTGGGTGAGATTAAATGGCGGACTTAAAGGGGTTCGAAGGAGGGGGTTGAAAGATGGGACCAGTGCGGATTGAGCGGTTGAGTGGGTTGAGAGGGTTTGGAGAGATTTAACAGCGGATAATAAGGGTTTAAAGGAGGGAAACGAAAGAGGGAGGAGGTGCTGGGGATGCTCTGCCTTGAGTTGCAATTCCCTTGTGTTTTTCTTTCGGAGCAGATGTTTGGGTTGAAGGCAGTGGCGGGCGTGACGAGCCGCGGGATGATGAGAGCGAATAGATCAGTGCCCATCTGCATGCCAACTCACTCATTCCCTGCATCTACCCATCTGCATCTTCACTTACAGATGTTTGGCATAGCAGAGAAGGCAGTGACGGGCGTGGCCAGCCGCATGATGATGAATGAGGAAATCAGCGCCAGCTGGGACCAGCCCTCGCACTCCCTTACCACCCTCCTTCCCCCTGTGTTTGTGTTTGCTGTTCCCTCAATCTTCAGATGTTTGGCATGACGGAGAAGGCAGTGACAGGGGTTGCCAGCCGCATGATGATGAACGAGGAGATCAGCGCCAGCTGGGACCAGCCCTCCAAGTGCATCGTGGTCAACGCGGTCAACCCCACGCGCCTGCAGCACCTCGCCCTCCAGGTGAGAGTTGGGGGCCTGTGGGATGGGATTTGTGGGTGCTGGGGATACCACTGTGGTCAAGGCAGTCAACATGCTCTTTTTTTTGGAAAGAATTTGCTCCTTCTGCATTATCTGGTGGCAAGAGACTGACCGCAGCCTTCTCTTATCTTCTTTGCTTTCTTGCCCCCCCTCCTTTCTTGCCCCCCCTCCTTTCTTGCCCCCCCTCCTTTCTCCCGTGTTTCCACTCACTCCAGTACGCCGATAAGCTATCAGTTCTCGTGGAGGGCAATGAGCAGGCCTTCTCAGAGAAGACTGGCGGCATGACGATCGAAGGGGCAGGGGGAGAGCGAGGCGGGGTTAACGATCGGGCCATCGCATAGTATTAGCGCCTACTCACTTTTCCTCCATTTCCAAACCCCCAATCCCCTACCCCCCCCCACCCCCCCCCTCTCTCTCTTTCTCTTCCCCCTTTGTCTTTTTTATTTTGCAGTACGCGGATAAGCTATCAGTTCTCGTGGAGGGCAATGAGCGGGCCTTTTCTGAGAAGACTGGCGGCATGACGATCGAAGGCGCAGGGGGAGAGAGAGGCGGGGGCAGGCGGGGCAAGGACGGCGGCGGGGACTATGGGGGGGGACGCAGGGACGATTACGGTGGTGGGGGCGGGGAGCGGTACGGGAGAGGGGGAGGACGAGGTGGGTATGGCGGCCGAGGGGGAGGGAGAGGAGGATGGGGAGGCGGTGGAGGTGGTGGTGGTGGGGGCGGAAGAGGGGGGTACAGAGGGGGAGATGGGGGAGGAAGGGGAGGGCGTGGGGGCAGGGGAGGGTACAGAGGAGGGGATGGAGGAGGAAGGGGAGGAAGGGGTGGTGGCGGTGGTGGTGGTGGTGACGCCAGTAGGTTTGTCAACCTTGGTCGGGCGGGAGGGTATTAAATCGAGTGGCTGTTGTGATCAAGTGCTGCTGTCAAGCCAAACGTGTGCCTGCAATCCCGAATTTGTGTTTTGAGTCGACTCAAAACACACCTGCTGTCAAACGCGTGCCTGAAATCCCGAATTTTGACGCGTCGCAGTGAAGGTCTTCTGTGGAAGAGAGGGGTTGGTTGGTATAGAGGGAACTAGTTTTACAGAATATGAAGTCTGTTGGTGAGATGAGCAGTTGGGGAGTGTGGAACATGCTGCTGATGTGTTGCCCTTTCAAGTCCATAGGGTTTAGAATCTTGTGTCTTATCAGTTTTGCCACTTACCGTAACTTTGATGGTTGTGCCACAAAACGCTTCATGCAGTTTAGTGTTTGAACTCATTTTTCCTTGCAACAAACTCGCTTCATAGAGAAAATGCGCGCACTGTTTGCCAACACCTCTCTTTGGCAACATCTCACTTTGAGAAAATCACCTGGACCTGAGCAGGGAATGTTGAACATGTGCTGCCTCAGAGCAACGCTCAAAACAGTGTCTCGATCCAGGCATACCGGTACCGTAGGTAGAACAGCAGCCGCATCTACGAACGCCAGTTGGTGTCCACAACCACTGAAAATCGTGCGTGGAGTTGCGAGTGCGTGTGTTGTGCACCCATTTACGGTGCCCTCCCTGCCATGTTTAGACGAGCCTGCCTGATACGGCATGTCCGCAAGGGCATGGCTAAAAGGGTTGGGCTAGGAAACCATGGGTACAAGGGCCTGGTTAGAAGAGCATGGTCAAAAGTGCATGACTAGAAGAGCATGGCGAGGTCCCTGAGATTCTGCAACACCATGGGGCGAGTTGAACCGATGTCCTCTGCTAGCTGCTGCTGCTGCTGCTGAATCCAGAGCATATAGGTCCTCGTCCCTGGCCCATCACACTCAGAAGAGCATGGCGTTGTGTGCGAGGTCCCTGAGGTTCTGCAACACCATGGGGCGAGTGAAGAGCATGGCGTTGTGTGCGAGGTCCCTGAGGTTCTGCAACACCATGGGGCGAGTGGAACCGATGTCCTCTGCTAGCTGCTGCTGCTGACTGTCGTCCATTAGTGCGTACCTGGTGGGTGCATGCGTAATTGCAAGGGATACATGCGATGCGATAAATGGGATACACAGGTTAAGGGTGGATGGGTAGATGGGTGGATGGGTAGATGGATGGATGGGTAGATGGGTGGGTGGATGCATGTCACATTGGAAGAGCTGATGGGTGCCCTCCATGAGTGCGTACCTGGTGGGTGCATGCATGTGATACATGGGGTGAGATAGTACTTGAATGGGGTGCATGGGTTACGTGGTTGGGTCATGCGCACATGGGTCCATGGGTGCAAGGGTGCACGAGGTGTGCTCACTTGTGGGATGCATGGGAAGTAGCAGGAGCGTGTGACAGGGGTAGGGCTCACAAGTGAAAATTATCAGCTTGCTAAGATCACCAACGGAAGCAACCCTAGACGCAGAATTTCTTCAGAAACGACGGCTGCTCTTAGACGCGTAAACTAGTATTGGAAAGGACAACTTACCGAGCAAGAAGCTGAGTGCTCCACGATCGAAGGCGCAGGGGGGGGAGAGAGGCAGGGGCAGGCAGGGCAAGGACGGAGGCGGGGACTACGGGGGCGGGAGCAGGGATGACTATGGTGGTGGGGTTGGGGAGCGGTACGGGAGAGGGGGGGGACGAGGTGGGTATGGGGGGCGAGGGGGAGGGAGAGGAGGATGAGGAGGCGGGTGGGGAGGAGGTGGTGGGGGCGGGAGAGGGGGGTATAGAGAGGGCGATAGGGGAGGAAGGGGAGGACGTGGAGGCAGGGGGGGTTATAGAGGGGGCGATGGTGGAGGGAGGGGAGGAAGGGGTGGTGGTGGCGGTGGTGGTGGTGGGGATGCTAGCAGGTTTGTCAACCTTGGTCGGGCGGGAGGGTATTAAATCGAGTGGCTGTTTCAGTGAAGTGCTGCTGTCGGAAGTGTGCCTGAAATCCAGATTTTTTACGCGTTACAGTAAAGGTGTTGTGTGCAAGAGAAGGCTGGTTGGGCAGTAAAGAGGAATGTAGTCGTGTTTCAGAGAATGGAGTATGTCAGTAAGATGAGCAGTTGGGGAGTCTGGATCAAACTTCTTATGTGCTGCCCTTACAAGTCTTAAGGGCTCAGAATTTTGTCATGAATGCATACATTTTGTCAATTGATGTGTTACTGTTTTTTGCCATGGTTGATAACTGTAAGAAAAATTCTTTCTGTGTACTACAACATCGTGTACAGAGGACAGCTGCCAACTCACACGTACCAGCACATGCAATCTTGTATGTTTTCAACACACAACGCTCTTACAAAGATATAGGCTGCAATTTTTAAAACTGGAGGCCAAGAAGGGTCGAATTGGTTCAACCTTCCTAACTTAATCTTAATTCTTTGAAATGCTACTCCAAAATCTTGGCCAATTGTGTTTCCCAACCAAGCTTCCTAAGATTGAGGTTTTGTGGCTGTATTGCCAGTGAGGGTTGGAAAGCTCACGGATTTTAAGTCCTTGGTTTTGGTAGGTTCGCACACGGTAGTGACCGTGGTTCTCCTGATCATCACTTTTACGCTGGGTGTCGTGGTTGGCTGGGTCGTGGCCGCCATTTTCACGGACGTGGTTGTTGACTTGGTGATGCTTGCCAGTTTCACGGCGGTTGGGGTCGACTCGACGGATTTCTGGAGGTGGTTCACAGTCCCGCCGGGGATTCCCCCGCCAAGAATGCGCCGCGAGGAGACAAATCGCTTGGATGCTGCTCCACAGAGACGGCGGAAGAGGTCGACAAGTAGAGTAAGTCAAAGAACTAGTAGTAGAACCGAATGTAGCATGATATCCCGATGTGTATAGATACCTCATCCAAATACTACCGATATTGGCTCAGGTAGTAGATTATCGTTCGAAATGCATGATGGTACTTGCAACAAAAAATCGGAACGCAAAAATTGCTCTTTGAGGCACCTCTAAAACCGTTCAAAACGCACGATAGTACGAGTGTACTCGTAGGAGCGAGCTTACCAGCCGCAACATACGATGCTGACGTCACGAGCAGCAAAAATAGAAGCACCGGCAGCACAGCCTTAACACGTTGCTTTGTCCGAGCCATTAGTGGCAAAGGAGTTTATCCCGACTTGCAAGAATAGTAAGCGTGAGAGGAGAATAGCCGGTGAACAGGAGCAGAACGGAGTGGCTGGCTGAGAAGCTCTTGAAGAAGGTGAACGACTACTGATGAGAACACGATATGACGAGCCTACTATAATTCACGAGTTGGGGTGGGTCTCCTACATGACGGTTTCATCTTGCCAAGCGGAGGGAGAGGCTCGCACAGGAGATTGTGCGTTCAACGCGGGGCTGAGCGTTGCGCATGTTTCAAAGGCGTGGGATTCGGTGGGATTCGGTGGGGGGAGGAAGAAAACTCACGGCTTGGCAGGATGACATTTTGCTTTTCCGCCAGGTGGAATTAAATCTGGGAATTGTTTGTTGCGCATGCTTCGCAGGTGTTGTGAACGACGACGATGCGATTTTCGCGATATGGCTCTCCCAAGACCGGCGGCTGCGCGAACCCAATCATCCACTTTCGTCAATGTTATCGCGACGCAGGGGTTTTCATGACAACAGAGGTTGACGCAGTGATTTCGATCTGAGTCGTTCCCACAGTTTGGACGGCAAGTGCTTTTGCCCACGCGACTAGAAATCTCCAATGTTGTAAAATTTGAATGGTTGTGGCTCCATGTATGGATACCATTCCGCAAAAAACATGGATTGTAAGATCCATTATGGCAATCCGACCAAACGTTGGACGACCGGTGAGGCGAGGCGAGCGGAGGCGCGGCGGGGCGAGCGGAGGCGCGGCGAGGCGAGCGGAGGCGAGGCGAGGCGAGCGTTGGCGCGGCGAGGCGAGCGGAGGCTCGGCGAGGCTAGCGGAGGCGCGGCGAGGCGAACAGAGGCGCGACGAGGGGAGCAGAGGCGCGGTGAGGCAAGCGGAGGCGAGGCGAGGCGAGCGGAGGCGCGGCGAGGCGAGCGGAGGCGCGGCGAGGCGAGCGGAGGCGCGGCGGGGCGAGCGGAGGCGCGACGAGGCAAGCGGAGCCGCGACGAGGGGAGGCTCCCAGAAACGATGGGGCGCGGCGATAGGAGATGCAACGACTGGAGGCGAGGCACAACAAGTTTGTGTATGCGCGGGTGAAGTTCCTAAGTTCTGCGTATTTTACTAGGCTACGATGCGCTGTCGGAATGTTTTCTGACTACTACCAACAAAACACTTGTGAGGTTGACTTATGTCGTATCCCTAGCAAGTGTCAAGAAGTGGTTGGTGTCAAGCGTTGTTAATGTCATAACATTATAGCTTATACATTTGTGTAGGCTATAGTGGGGTAGCCCTTAAGGGGTACAACCCAATTAGGGTTAGTACTTGTACCCAACTGTTTCATAGTTCATCTATTTCTCGTTTCTTCTCATGGTATCGAGCAGGTTCCCTAGAGGGAACGCTACCTAGGGCCCACCACGATACTTTTTTTTTTTCCCCTGCCCGGAGCGCGCTTCACCCTAGACCGAGTCGCGCGCGCCCCGCGTGCCCTCCCTACTGTCGCGCCGCCCTTAGCGGCCCCTCTCACGGCCCCTCTCACGGCCCCTTGAGCCGCCCTTACAGCCCCGTGCACCGCCCTTGCGGCCCCGCGCACCGCCCTTTACGGCCCCGCACACCGCCCTTGCGGCCCCTCGCACCGCCCGTCGGCCCCTCGCGCCGCCCTAGCGGCCCCTTGCGCCGCCCGTCGGCTCCGCGCGCCGCCCTTGCGGCCCTTCGAGCCGCCCGTCGGCCCACCGTGCGCCGCCCTTGCGGCCCCTTGCGTCGCCCTAGCGGCTCCGACGCCTACTCCTGCGGCCCCGGCGCCGCCCTTCCTGGCCCCGGCGCCACCTCGGCTGGCCCCGTCGCCTACCCCTGTGGCCACGGCGCCGCCCTTCCCGGCCCCGACGCCGCCTCACCCGGCCCCGCCGCCGCTCCACCTGGCCCCGCCGCCGCTCCACCCGGCCCCACCGCCGTCCCCACGCGGCCCCCCCCGTCACCACCGGGCCCCGGTGTCGCCGAACTGCTGCCGAGCCGCCGTGCCTCCTGAGCCGCCTGCGCCGCCCGAGCCGTCGGGTCCCCGAGCTGCCGAGCCGCCGTACCGCCCGAGCCGCCCGAGCCGCCCTGTCTGGTAAGAACAGCGCCTCTGTCACTGCACTGCCCTTACCCTACTGTTCGCGCTGCTAGTCTACTGCTGTCATGGCTACCCCTAGTGTCCTCACTTTTGACGCTGAGGGTCGGGCTATTGACTTTGACGTCTGGATAGATGACCTACAACTTTTCCTACAGTGCGATAAGGCAGACGGTCTCTCCCTCTTTGACCTCACTTCTGGTGCCTCTCCTGCCCCTGCTGCTGATGGTGACGCCACTGTTCGCTCACAGTGGGCCACACGCGATGCTGCTGCACGTCTTGCTGTGCGTCGCCACCTGCCTACCTCTGAGCGTGCGCACTTTAGCCAGTACAAGAGTGCTCAGACCTTGTCCGACGCTGTAGTCGCACGCTAATCCTCCCCTGCCAGTGCTGCACTGAGCGGCCTCATGCTACCGTACCTCTTCCCTGACCTTGCTGCCTTTCCCACAGTCACTGACCTCATTACGCACCTCCGTACTAGTGACACTCGCTACCGCGTTGCGCTTCCTGCTGAGTTCTGCGCCAAGAACCCCCCTCCCATGTACATCACCCTCTACTACATCGTCGCCCGGCTCCCTGACTCCCTCCGCGTAGTCAGGGACCACTTCCTCTCTGTTTGCCCCACCACTCTTACCGTTGACCTCCTCGAGAAGTCCATCCTAGCAGCAGAGAAGAGCATAGTCGCTGAAGGAGCCTCTCATGGTGACCCTCGCACCCCCCTCTTTGAGGGGTGTTCCCCCTCCCCCCTTTTGCCCTCTGTTGCCTCTGCTGCTGCGGCCGACCTCGTTGGTTTCGAGTCGGTCGGCGCTGCGTCTGCCCCGAGCGGGAAACGCCGCACCGGCAAGGGCAAGGGGGGCAAGGGCGCTGGAGGGGCTGGCGGGGGTGGCGGACGTGGCGGTGGAGGCAGTGGAGGGGGTGGGGGTGGTGGTGGGAGTGGTGGCGGGGGTGGAGGTGTCAGTGGCGGCAGTGGAGGCGGAGGCGGCGGTGGTGGTGGGAGCGGAGGTGGCGGAGGTGGCGGCGGAGGAGGAGGCGGCGGCGGAGGAGGCGGAGCTGGTCGGGGTGGCGCTGCGCAGAGGGTCGGCTCCGCTGGTGGTCAGCGCCAGCAGCAGCAGCAGCAGCAGCAGCGCACTCGTGACATCCCCCCCCCTCAGCAGCTCCGTGAGTGGTACGCTGCACGCCAGCGGGGTGGGGGTACTGGTCCGTGCACCTACGTCCTGAGCACCGGCGACCGCGCGGGTGAGCAGTGCGGGGGTGCGCACTCCACCCAGCGATGCTTTGGCCGCCTTACGGACGCTTGGCGTCACCAGTTCCCTGAGGCCACTGAGATCCCTCGCTGGGGAGAGCTGTCTAGGGCGGGAGTAGCTATCTTTGACTTTGACTTCGTCGCCGTGCGGCCTCGGCCGTACTTCGTTCCACTCCTTCAGGAGGTTCTTGGTCTTCCGCCTTCTTCTGGTCCTCCTCCTCCCTTAGAGTGTCCATAGCCTGTCCTGTCACAGTTACAGTTACAGTCGGCCTCCCCGTTGCCTGCTCCTTCTCTGTACACTGGTCCTACTGGAGGTCTTGCTGAGCGTCGTGAGCCTGCGTCTCGCCCTGCGTCACCTGTCCGTGCTGCTCGCACGAGTGGTCGTGGTTCGCGTCAGCGTCCTCCTCCTGTCCCAGGCACGCACCGGATGTCTCTACGTCCGTCCACTGCTCCTTTGCGTGCCCCTTTGCCTTCTCCTCCTGAGTCCTCTCTTCCTGCTGTTCCCGACCCGGAGTCGGACTCTCTTCGTGCTGCCAGTCCCACTGTCACGCGTCTCCTTGCTATTGTCATCACTGGCCCTTCCTTCGAGTCCACTGCTGCGTCTGCCCTAGTTGCTGAGCTCGTCGACTTTGCTGCTCGCTGTCGCCTAGACTACGCTGCTAGTCTTGTTGCTGAGTCTGAGTCTGTCTGTCCTCCGTCCGTCGGGGGTGAGTGTGCCCTTGGCACGGACGTCCTTGAGGACAGGCAGGAGGAGTTCCAGTGTCTGGCTGCTGCTTCACCTCATCTCGTGTCCGTACTGCTTACCCCTGAGGGAGACCCGGATGCACTTGACATCCCGACTCCGCGCTCTTACGCGGAGGCGATAGAGGGTCCCTACTCCTCTCAGTGGCAGGCAGCTATGGACACAGAGATGGCTTCCTGCAAGTCCACAGGCACCTACGTTGACGGGGTTCCCCCGCCTGGGGCGAACATCGCCAGTGGCATGTGGATTTTCAGGGTGAAGCGGCCGCCGGGTTCTCCGCCTGTCTTCAAGGCGCGTTATGTGGCTCGTGGCTTCAGTCAGCGGTAGGGAGTTGACTACTTTCAGACCTTCTCTCCCACCCCGAAGATGACCACTCTTCAGAAACTCCTGCACATAGCTGCTCACCGTGACTACGAGCTGCACTCTCTTCGGTTCAGCACTGCTTTCTTGCAGGGCAGCCTGCACGAGGAGATCTGGCTGCGCCGCCCACCTGGCTTCACTGGGTCTTTTCCTCCTGGCACCCAGTGGAGCCTTCGGCGGCCAGTCTACAGTCTCCGCCAGGCACCACGTGAGTGGCACGACACACTGAGGACTACACTTGCGGCTCTTGGGTTTGCTCCCTCTACTGCCGACCCGTCGCTGTTTCTGCGCACCGACACTTCTTTGCCGCCGTTCTACATCCTCGTGTACGTCGACAACTTGGTCTTTGCCACAGCTGACACTGGTGGACTCGCCCACGTGAAGTCCGAGCTGCAGAAGAGACACACGTGCACAGACCTGGGTGAACTGCGCAGCTACCTTGGCTTGCAGATCACCCGGGACAGAGCACGCCACACCATTACCCTGACTCAGTCACACATGGTGCAGCAGGTCCTTCAGCGCTTCGGCTTCACGTACTCCTCGCCTCAGGCCACTCCTCTGTCTACTCGCTACTCGATCTCAGCTCTGCTTTCGGATGAGTCCGTAGAGTCGAGTGGCCCGTATCCAGAGCTTGTTGGCTGCCTCATGTACCTGATGACCTGCACACGACCTGACCTTGCATACCCCCTTAGCATTCCGGCACGCTATGTTGCTCCTGGGAGACACAGACCGGAGCACATGACTGCAGCGAAGAGGGCGTTGCGCTACTTGTGCAGTACGTCGGGCATGGGGCTTGTGCTTGGAGGGCGGAGTCCGTGGTCCTCACTAGGCACGCAAACGCTTCTTGTGGTCCGTGGACCAGGCTACGCTGCGCTCGTGACAGGGTTACACCTTCAGCCTTAGTTCCGGCTCTGTTTCGTGGCGGGCTACCCGCTCGTCTTCTGTTCTCGGCTCCAGTTGTGAGGCTGAGATCTACGCAGGAGCCATGGCTGCACAGGAGTTTCGCTGGCTCACCTACCTGCTGACCGACCTTGGAGAGTCGCCTCGTTCTCCTCCAGTTGTGTATGTAGACAACAAGGCCATGCTGGCCTTGTGTCGAGAGCAGAGACTGGATCACAGAACAAAGCACATTGCTCTCCGCTACTTTCTTGCTCGTGAGCTACAGCAGCGTGGTCAGCTGCGACTTGCGTACGTGGCCTCTGAGGCCAACACTACTGATATCTTCACCAAGGCACTTGCGCCTTGTGATCATCAGCGCTTCTGTACTCAGCTGGGTCTTGTGCCTGCCTTGCCTCACTTGCTCACCTCTTGACCTTGCTTGTACTGTTACATATATATGTACACCTGCTCTTGCTTGTCTAGCCTTTTATATATATGTACTCCTGCATGTGAATTGACCTTGTGGCCTTGAACTTGTGCTCGGAATGTGTGGTGACTTTGTGATCCACCCTGAGCTTGCTTTGCTTTGCTTTGCTTGACTGGTCTTGTGACCCCTTGTTCTCCCCCACTTTGCCTATGGGGGTGTGTCAGAACATTATAGCTTATATATTTGTGTAGGCTACAGTGGGGTAGCCTATAAGGGTACAACCCAATTAGGGTTAGTACTTGTGCCCAACTGTTTCATATTTCATTCATTTCTTGTTTCTTCTCAGTTAATGGTTGACACCAAGTGGAGCC